AGACTTATTAGTTAAGTCAATGTCAGTCGCGGTATCGTATAATCTGTGTCTATTTCTAATCAAATTTTTGATCCTATGATTGATGGAGTCAAAAATAAAGTCTAGTGGGTAGTCATTCAGAAGTAAAATGTCAATGATGGAGGTCAAATTTTTTGTGTGAAACCTAACGTCAGATAATAAAAAGGCTCTGTCGACTAATGAAAAGATGGTGCCTTTTTTCTGCGTCAATGGATGATTAGAGTGGAAGTTTAAAAATCTACCTGAAAACGTTGGCTTACGGTACCAATCGAAATTAAAGCGATTATTGTTGACAGACACAGTGACGTCCAAGAAATTGATCGTTTTTCCGCCTCTCTCTACGGTAAACTGTAGGCGCGGATGGAATGCATTAAATCTCTCTAATAACACGTCGATCTGAGAGGGGGGCAACGCAGTGCATATGTCGTCAACATATCTGTAATAGAATAGAATGTCCAAATTCACAGACATCAAGGACACCGTCTCCAATCTCCTCAACACTAAGTCCGCTATCACCGGTGATATTGGAGAGCCCATGGGAGTGCCAAAGCTCTGCCTGTAAAAAACATTGTCAAAGACAAAAAAACGAAGAGTCCAGGACAAATCGTATCGCTCCCAAAAATTCTTTCTTAGGAAGAGGGCAATCCCCAGAAACCGCCGGCCAATGTTCGTTAACGCAGTCAATTTTAATATACGCCGTTTTACTTGTTATTTTATTTTATTTTATTTTATTTTATTTCATGTATCTATGACTATTATTTTTAATTATATATATTATATGAAGAATAAATAGATTAGAATTATAAAACAGCAGTTGTCTGTAATAAATGACACATGTGACTCTAAACTATTGGACATCCGGCAAATGGTCGATGACGAAATTGTCTTAGACACATACCCCTGTATCCCATTTCACAACCGATATCCTTAATCCTAATCCTAGATTAGGCCAACAGCACACGTGTGCCCTGCACTCGGCACCACTAACTCGCCAATATAAAAAGAGGCCCTCCACGAGCGCAGTCAGCCGTCAGTAGTCATTTTTCAAACGAAACTCTGTCGGTTTGCGACTGCACGCAGTTGTCAGTTGTCAGTTGTCAGTCGTTAGTTGTCAGTCGTCAGTTTCTCAAAACGAAACTCTGCCGGTTCGCGACTATACGCAGTTCTCACTCGACTCCATCTCCTTTGAACTTTGAACAAGAGTGACTCGACCGAAGCCTCCGTATCCGAGTGGGAACCCTCCGTAGAGTGCTAGGACCAAAGAAATTCGGCCGTTGGATCCACCCATTCGCAGAACAACAGGAAGTCCCATTCACACACACACACACGCACGCACGCACGCACACACACACGCGCGCGCGTAAATAAGTACCATCCGCTATAATTTACACTAAATTATAGTGCCGCGTCTAAACCGTCCCTACAAGGGGTGGCTTAGAAGCCGGGCCTACCGAGAAATGCGGAGACTCTTGGACGAGGAGTTTAAGAAATACTTCGGGGGTTTGCGAGAACAGAGTCGCCCGGCCGAGGACCACTTGCCATCACCACCACCCTCATCACCATCGGCTCCGCCGGCTAATCAGTTAGAGGTTATACCTCCCCCTCAACCATCTTCACCTTCCCCTCAATCACCTTCACCTTCCCCTCAACCACTTTCATCTCTCCCTCGAACATCTTCACCTTCCCCGCAAACTCCTTCGCCTCCTTCTCGATCTCCGTCACCCGCGTTTTCGGACGCACTGACGGAGAGAATCTTTCCAGATACTCCTCCATTATCACCCGATTCGTCGGTCGATCCTATCTCAATTTTCCTCAGAGGAATTCCGTCCCCGACGACGTCTCCACGAACAGCGTGGAGTTCGTAGAGGAAATTTCTTCGCCCCAACCTAGATCCTATTTCCGAATCCTAGAGTGACACTCTCGAGTCACTCATCACCCAATTCCCGCGGACTACTACCGCATCCATCCCCCAGGGGGCCTACACAATCGGCTCTCATTACTTCGATCCTGAGGAAATCCGGAATGCCATCACCGGCCAAAACTCAACATCCTGTATCCCTGTATTCCTCCCGAATTCCGCCATTCCTATTTCCAGTGGAATTCTTTTACAATCTTTCCCCTCCTTCCTCCGTTTCCATCCACGAAATAGATTAATCAAATCCCATCCGAGTCTCCCGACTACTCGATGTACATAAAACGTATGCCCGTTACCGAATAGATTGTTGCGGTATTTATGTAATAGATTAAAATGTGTATAGAGTAGTTATAATAAATACGCTTATTGTTAACTACATCTCGTCACGTTCCCTGCGAACGAGACGAAGTACGATACGAAAGGGGATACAAGTGCAATTAAATCGAACAAATCGAGTCTCATCGAGTTTATTTCTTCTCATTTATTTCTTATCGGGTAGGTTCGTAGAGGTCACCGTGGGTCACAAATCGTCTCCCTTTAATTATTCTCCTCCCGACAGCTACCGTCATACACGAGGACGCGAACGGGAATCATCGCGGTCGTAATTTCATTTTTCGCATCGACTCGGACTGATGGGGTCGACGACGCCGATGACGGCGACGTCATTGACGCAGGTCGCCGTCGGCAACGGCAGTCCTACAGTGACAGTCTCCGAGTCTCCTGCCATCGCCAGTTGACGTCGCCAGTCCGCGACCGCAACTCCGTTTATTTCCGCACGCCACGACTGCACGACCGTGACTACGCCACAGTCCACAGTATAGGAATCGCGAGCGCGAGCAGTCGTCGCGTGTACGTCAGAGTCGATAGTGCGTGGAGAGTTGGAGGTTGGAGACCGCTGAGGCTAAGGCGCGTGCTGAGTGGTGCTGAGTTGGCAGTCTTGACAGGGCAGTCCCGCTAACTGTTGATTTGCATGTCGTACGGCACGTCCGCGCGAGTCTGGATAATGTTACGAATGAATGTACTTAAACGGTCTACTTAAAACAACGCCGCAGTACTTAATGAGCGATGAGCGGACAGAAGTTCCAGTATGACGAGAGCGGAGGGACATTCTTTTACTTTCTGCTCTCGTTCTTGGCGTTACTGCTGGTACCCGGGACTTACTACCTCTGGCCACGTTGCCCGAAGCAAGGTTAGAAAAAAAGAGACAGACAAATAGAAAGATCAAGGCGAACTCCATTTTCCAGACCAAAGTAATTTACAAGCGCGTACAGATGTAACGACGTACACGTCCACTGTATATGTATATCAATGGATGAATGCTGTTTGCAATCTCAATTTACGTTATGCTCCACCTTGGTCCTTTATTCAATTCTTTTATCGAGACACAACGTTATATTCGTTACAGAATCTACGAGGAATATTCTATAAGAATATTGAAATGAATTATATAGCTGTTTAATTCCGTAATTTGTGTACTTAAAAAATTAAGTAATTTGAAGTTATATCGGTTGTTTGTTACAACGTAACTCGACAAAATATTAGAATATTTTAATTAATGATTCAAAACATTGAAATTTATTTTCCGGAAAATGAGTTTCAATATTTTGAATGATTAAAATATTGTAATGCAATTTTGATTATATAATAATTAATTGTAGAGAAAAAGAAATATTTTTTTTTAAGTATATTCTTATTTCTTTATATTTCCATTCTCTTTTTTTGCAAACAACTCAAAATGACAATTTTTGAATCATGACGTAGCAAATGAGCGATATGTAGATATAATATCTATATTATGGTTTTGACTTTTTTATGCTACAAAAATTTAATACATATGTTTAATATATTTCACGTCAAATTGCATATGAAAATATGAAAATCTTATATAATGTATCTCATTTGAACAAACAGATAAAGAATATATGTGATTTTTAGGATCAACACTGTTATTTGAGAATTGGTATAATGATATAACTATAAGCATCGTGAAAATATCTTCGACTATTCTCTATACTTTGTCGATAAGTTAAAAGAAACAAAGATTTACAAAATAATATATTAATTTAAATTTGTTCAGATCCTGATCAGTTAGCCAAAGAATGTCAATGCGATGGGTGCAAAAAGAAGAAAGTTATTCTTCATGCAAACAAACCTTGGAAGGAGACCAAGGCTTTCTTTACGTAAGTAAAAATTAAATATTTTGTATTGTACATGCAAAATGTAAATTATACATTTACACAATTGTGAAAATTGTCACAAAGTTAACAGTTGGTGTTTTCATATGCGATTAATATTATACTGTTGTAGGAAATTTCTAATTATTGTGGGATGGATTATCCTGTTGCTCTTAGCCTATAAGGTGTCTCAATTTGATTACGAAATGGCCAACTTTGACCCGTATGAGATATTAAGTATACCACCTGTAAGTATACAAAATAGAATTTTTATATATACCATTAATTTTGTTATGTAACAAAAATGGATGTCAAACATTCCGATTGTAGGGTTCTTCTCAAAGTGAGATTAAGAAAGCTTATCGCAAGCTCTCCTTAATTCTTCATCCCGATAAAGAAACAGGAAATGAGAAAGCTTTTATGAAATTAACTAAAGGTAAGGAATGCGAAAGGATCTCTGCACAGATATATAATA